AGCCACTCAAAACCATGGCCCAGCCAGATTGCCACACAGTCTTAACTACCACATTCCATCTCTAGTCAACTTGGGACCTGTATACATCTTCAATGGGTGGCCCAAGTGTCCTAGTCCATCTGAGTGGCAACCACATCCCCTTACTTTTGGGCAGCAAATACAGCCCATCCCACTGACCCTCATGTATGGCAGCCCCACACTCCAGAACCAAGTAGGTGAAGATTTGACTGAAATCTAGGAGGGTGAGGCAGCTGTGCTTCGTGTTTCCTTGGTCTCTGCTTCTGCCAGTTAATGCCCAAAGTCACTCAGCTTTCTCCATGGGCTGGCAAGTCTGCGACTCCATCTTAATGCTGGTTTTTCCTACCATATTAGTGCCAGCAGGCAACTCACTCCACCATGAAGCCACCAGCCCAAAGGCATTCAGCTTTTTTGCTCTCTGGGCTGGCAAGCCCATCACACGTCTCATGCCAGTCTTTAGGCTCTGCTGCTGCTGTCTGCCAGTCTCTCAGCATAGTCTCAAGTCCAAGGATAAGTCCCACTGCCACATCTGAGGTACCTGTTAGAGCAGCATCCCACTCACTTGGTACCACATTCTGTCTTGATTCTCTAGTGATGTTTAACTACCACAGCCACAAAGGGTCACTTGCACTTCTCAGCTTCAGTGGGCTTTCCCATGTGATGGCGCCAGTTTATAAAGCTTTCCCTGGCACAGCAAGGGAATAACCAAGTCCTAGCTTTCCTTGACCTAGCACTTCAAAGCGTAAAGCAAAAGCTACCTTAAACTCACATTTCATTTGACTTACCATACATTCTGATATAGTCCTAATGGAACTAATCGGGAGTGAGAATGTATTTTAAAGTCATTCATTCAAAAGAAGTATTTAAAACTGTCAGGACAGAGTGGGCTGTAGTGGGGACTATCAGGCATGTTCCCTCCTGCCTTACAGCCAAAAACCATCTATTGTTGCAGTGATTAACTATGAAATAAACACTGCTCATTAAACTGCATAGAATCATGAACTTTAGGGAAAAAAACTCTCGTTATGCCACATCTCTCCTACCTCCTGTGTGATTGTGAAGAGAAACTGATGATCGAAAGCAAATGTGGGCTAAAGTGCAACAGACGCAAAACTCCATTGCTGTTGGAATCAGTATGTCAGCACGTCCATGGACGCTTACAGGAGTGTCCATAGGAGTTCTACCATGAAGTGTCTGCCCCATTGCCTAACATAATGAACTTGACGATTTATAATGAAATTGACAATATTCTTGAGTAAATATAAAATACGAACACTAACTAGCAGCATTTATTCCTCCTTTATCCACTATCATTCTCTGTGCTATCCAGGAAGACACTTAAAAAAGGGGTCCTTACCCCTTCCCAAAGACCCAATCAAGCAAAATTTGAAAAACTGATTATTTCTAATCAAGGCCTCAATATTTAGACAGCAAAGGGGACACTAAGGCATTGACTGTTGTCTTAATTCTCTAGCAACAGAAGAATGAATAACTGCTGCTTTGCTTCTACAGAAAGCATTCCCCCCACACACTTCTTGTCCCTGGAGAGCCCTGCTCACATCATCAAGGGGTCCCTAACCCAAGGGCCTAAGGGGCAGCAGATGATGTGAGTAAAGTGGGCCAGCGAGACTCTGGTCTGCAGCCCTCCTGTCCGGCTTGAGGAACAGCTGCTGCTGACCGTGCAGCAGCCCAGCTGGTGCTGTGCAGGGTGCTTGGCCCAGTGTTTCCAGAGCTAGCAGTCTTCCCAAGAGATGCTCAGTATCCCAGTTTGTGAATGTCAGAACACAGCTGTGGGGCAAAGCAAGCCACCCTAGTGGCACCGTCGTTAAGCACTCAGCTGCTAATTGAAAGGTCAGCAGTTAGAACCCACCAGTTGTTTTGTGGGAGAAAGATGTGGCAGTCAGCTTCCGTAAAGATTCCAGCCGTGGAAGCCCCATGGGCACTTCTGCCCCGCTCTAATCAACCCAACAGCGACGGATGGTTTGTTTTTCAGTGGGGCAAAGCAAGCCACAGCCTGCCACTTTGTGACCCTAGCCACAGCTCATTCTTGGTATCTATCGCTCTTACCACCAAGTGTGAAAGAAAGTGTGTGCTTCATTAAACTTGCCTGAAAATGTACATGCTGGGTTGAATATCCAGTGTATCTACATGCAGCCACCAGTGGTTTCTTTAAGGGGCCAACCAAAAGGCCCACATGTGATGCTTCTGTCCCTCAGGAACAAAGAGCAAAGCAACTCAGTAGATGCTGATATGTGTGTGTGTGTGTGTGTGTTGTTTTGTTTTTCCCCAGCCTAATGCCCTGCAGCTTTGTTACTAAATCCTTAAACTCAAATGTTCAGATAGGTCTGATCTGTTATCCAGCCACACGGCAGAAGTTACAAAGGGAAGTGGAACGTGAGCAGCAGGCCGTTTGCTATTGAGTAAATGGCTTAGTTGTCCGTGATTCCTTTGCCCAGCTGAAGTCGGGTGGTTTTCCCCCAGTATTTAAACAAGCCCCTACCAGTATTTCAGATCTGTTGGTTAGCATCCCTCTTCTGGGAACTGATACTACCCCCTCAGACACTTACTCGTCACTTCTCCCATCCTGTACGTCTCGGGCTCACACAGCCTGTTTAATTTCAAATCCCCAAAACCCACTTCCTGATGCCTTGGCTATGAAGGCTGTGTGCACTAGGCACTATTCCACGTAGAACATTAGAAAGATCTGGTCCCTTTCTCTCTCAAATAGAGGTTGACTGTGGTGTAATCAGCTGGGACATACGACACTGCAGTGTCCCAGCTAGCTGTGATGCATTTTGCTGCCTCATTTAAAAAGCCATCCAGCCAACCTGATTTGAAGGCAGTGCTAGCAGTGGCTGAAACTCAGGGCTGTCCCCCCACCTCCCCAGCATATGAAACCCATTAGGAAAGAACTACAAAGAGTATACTGTCTTTCCCCATCCCGCCCTTGTAAAGTACACAAGATGAGGTTTCCTTACCACGCAGTACACCACAGGGAAGCTTGAGGGTACACTGGGGCCTTAACCTTCCGTACTTTCCTTGGCTGTTGGCAAAATCTTATTTTATGTGAGATGCCGTCTGGGTGACACCGATCCACTGACACCAACACACAGCAATACGCCATCTTCTTGCAGGAGCAGGACTTAATCAGAACCACAGCTATACATGCAGAGGCCATGGCAAGAAGGCACAGACCACCAAAGGCGGGCACTTCACTACACAAACCACAGGCGAGGTTTACAAGAAGAGGACTTTAATGTAGGCTGCTCACTATTCTTCAGAGTCTTCACCCATCATCAGTTCTTGGGGAAATAGCACAAGGCACGCCAACCTGAGGTGGTAATTTAGTGGGAAGTGGGGCGTCCTGACTCCTGCAACTTAACAATAGAGTCTCTCTCCACTTATGTCGGCTCTGCAGGCAGATCTGGAAGATGTAAAAGTTTTGTTTCTGCTTTGCATCAAATTACTCTTCTGGTTACTGCTGAAGAGAAGCAGAGCCTTTGGAACTATCCGAGGAGGTTTCCACTGTCGTCTGCTCAACTGTAGTCTGCTCAACTGTAGTGCTTCCTCGGAGGCGGAGGGCGGTTCTTGATGGTCTTACACTTGGGAATGTGCCGCTCAGCCACTTTGGGAGCAAAGTGGCGGCTACAGTGAGGACACTGAACATAGTCTGGATTTTCTGCAGGCAAGATGGGGGGCAAGTCCGAGGGGTTTCCACCTTTGGCAATTACCTGCTGTACCTCTCGAGCCTGGCGGAGGGTACGGATAAAAGATTCGTGCTTCTGTCTCCAGTTGCTCTTCCGAGGGGGATCAGCCTATAATGTAGAAGACTAATCAATCATTCAACTTGGCATTTATCTCATCTCCTTCCCAAGTCTCCCCTTAAAATGATAATAAGGAAATAAAAAGGGAGTTAACCCACAAGCTCAAAGAGAAGAAAGGAGCCTCCACCAGAGTGGAAGCACTTAAACTTAGGGCCTGCAAAAGGGGGCCACTGAAAGGCAAGCCATTTTCCCCAGCAGAACCCCTGAGAGGTCCAGTGCTTGGAAGTACCAGGTAGTGAGAAGGGGGAATAAGGGGAGCGAGAGTTGAAACGCTGGAACCCCCATGGCTCTTCTCCCATCTTACAGACCCAAGTGTCAACACCCCCTGCAGCCTCACAGGGGATCAGTGGTTTATTTCTAGAGAAATTGAACTTGACAGGTTTCAGACTCAGGAAATGAGACAAAATGAAGAACGGGATTAATCTCGGGGCTGAATATGACGATGAAGTGAAAGTTGAACTGTGGGACTCAGCCTCTTTCCCTACCCAGCTCCCAAAGTACAACACACATCAGCGTCCTCTTAGGAGACTGAAGGCTTCCCATCTGGTGCACTGCACCATCCAGAGAAAAACCTTCAGACACTGACTCTAGCAGACCGCAGTCAAAAGGGTCACTAGATGAAGCCGCCTAGTCAACAAGCCCCACCTGAGCTTAAATATGAATGGCTAGCCAAGATATTTAAAGCTCTAACAAGAAAGAAATCAAAACAAGTGCAAACAAACAGAACAGAAACGAACACAAATTCAGGAAGCAGAAACCAAGACAGGTAGCAGAAGAAAACCCTTTTTTTTTTTCCTTCAAAAATCATATTAACAAATAAATGTAAGAGATGTGTCCACAAAACAAGAGTGTATTATAAAAAAAGAACAATCAGAGACCTATTTAATATTTCATAATTAGAAATAAAAACTAAATAGAAATGTTGTAAAATAATATCAAGAACATTTCTGAGAGTGTGATAAAATACTGAGATGGAAAGTACAAAAGATTAGAAACTTAAGAAAATCAATCCAAAAAGTCCAACATCTGACCAAGAGGAGTTCCAAAAAAGAACAGAGAAAGCGTAGGAAGAAAATTGTTAAAGAAATAATACAATTGAAATGTCTAGCATTAAAAGTCACAAGTCTTGACAATGAAACAGCCTCCCTAGTATCCAATACAATCATTGTAAAATTTCAGAATAAAGAGAGAATCCTATAAACTTCCAGAAAAATAATAGTGGGTCTCACATAATGGAACAGGAATCAAAACCAGATTTCTCAACAGCAACAGTGGATGCTAAAATCTAATGGAAAATGCCTTCAAAGTTCTAACAGAAAACCATTTTCCACTTAGAATACGATACCCAGTCAAATCATAAATCAAATGTAGAGCTATTAGATAGGCATTTTAATTCATTTAAAGACAAACAATATCCCTCCCATGTACGCTTCTTAGTAAGCTTCAGCAAACCAAGGCGTAAGTCAAGAAAAACAAAGACATCTTCACCCAAATCCTAA